AATTTAGTATATTATTTTAAAATCTTTCCGTTTATAAATAATGACAATTCATTATGAAATGGATCGAATTCAATACCCAGCGGTCACTGGGTGCTGCCTGCAATGTATTCTTACCGTATATACTCGAGTATTATGCAACTTCTGAAGATCTGATTTCGAAACTAGTTTGACTAAAGTAAATGGATATATAATTTGGTCAACAGCGTTGCCAGGGCACGCAGTATATACGCTAATTTTATATCTTGTGTAAGATGCGACTACTTTAAAATTATCTTCTAAATTAGGTTTGAAATGTCACATGATACACGAGATATATAAAGAATGCGATGGATAAATCGTCTAAATTACGCAAAAGTGAAAGTAATTCTGACATTGTTATTTTAACAGATATATTTACCAAAATTACACAAAAATATCTTGAAATAGTAAAGAGTACATTTATTCAATAAAATCGCGCTTGGCTTCAACCACGGCTTCCTGATGGCGTCAGAATATCCTACCATTTTTAGGACAAGCTCCTTATTTAAGTTAGTGAATGCTGTCTTGATCATTGCCTTAGTTCATCTTTGGTGTTAGAAAGAGTTTTGTTGATCTCCCATTGAACTGAGCCCCACATAAAATAATCAAGTGGGTTAAAGTCTTCTTCGTCTTCTTCTTCTTTGCTCAAAATTCCTTTCGACAATCGGCCGCTTATCCAAAACAATAATCTTCTCGTTAACAAACTATTTGGTTTAAAAAATGATCTCTATTTTCTCTGACGCAAAGAAATTTCATTGTTTTCGACATTGAAAATTGCCGATTAAAATCTCATTGTTTACATTTTGCCTATCGCACCTAAGGAGTCATGAATATTTATATCAATTAATTATTTTTTTCAATTTTCGAGAAACGACGCCGACTGACAATCAAAGCTGACAGTTGTTCAAAAACAATACATTCTTTCGACAACAATAATTGTTCCCGATAACAAACTTTTGTGTTTAAAAATTATTTCTATTTTCTCTGACGCCAAAGAATTACCTTTGTAGTGGACCTTCAGTATTAAAACATCATTGTTTACTCTTTGGCTTTGTAAATTTTCAATTCCATTTGCCCATCAGTTTATCAGGAAAATAAATATTTATTTTTTCCTTGCTTCTTATTTCAATTCATACTTTCATCTTAACGTTTTAACATTTTTAACCCTTCTAGTCCACCGATTCATATACGTGGATTTCACATGAATCTTTTTAATCCTAATTTCATAATACCACTGTCACAATAGTGTCACAGCAGTGAATTGCGTCAGGGGTCTCTTTTTCTCACAGAAGGTGCCTAACTGACTCTACTACACTGTGCCGTCGACAAATAAAAATAAATAAAAAATTAACCAACACGCACTGTTGAAATTAAAAAATGTAAAATGGCGCCAATTTACCCATCGCCCTCTCTGTATATATCGAGAGAATAAATGTTTATTTTCTGTCACTTTGTTATTGTCGTCTGGAGTCAAAAATTATAAACTTACTTCCTGTGTATCCTGTTCTTCCAATCCCTACTTCCGTATTATTTTTCATGCCTGTAGTGCTGCCAATTCAAAACCCTGCGCAATGGAAATCTTTTTCCTCATACTTCGCGTACCTCTGTAATTTCTCACTAAGCAGGACTCTGTTGGGGCGTAAGATATACAGGCAGAAGGAAATAAACATTTATTCTCTCGATATATAAAGAGAGGGCGATGGGTAAATTGTCGCCATTTTACATTTTTAATTTCATCAGTGCGCGTTGTTTACGAAAGCGTTTAACATTGTGTTTTCAAAGCTTCAAAATCGCACTACTGGTGGCATAGCGCATGTAGGTTTTGACTAATCGCATAATGCTCTCATCTAGCGGTGGCAAGCTCAATTTATTGCACAGTCAGTGAAATAATATTCGCTGATTCAAAAGGAACGAACAAGAAAAATGTTCAACAGATAAAAAAATGCTATCCTAATTTGAAAATATAAGATATCCTCTATCAGCCAAAGTAATAAATCCCTGACGATGGTTACAGTATATTGGCAGAAACACCGTCTCAATAATAATTATATCTCATCAAATTGCCCTAATATGGTTTATATGGTCTGTCTAGTTTTCTAGAAAAACATGACGTAGCTTTTCGATAAGACTATAAACTAAAATTGAAGATGGTAAAAATTGTTAAAATGCAATGTGAAAAAAAAAGATGTGTTTAAACATATTCAAGATTAAACTTAAATCTACTATAATTGGCTTCCAGGGAATGATAACATATTTGATCTAACACGTGCACAGATTACCTATGGCATATTAACACATTTACTACACTACTTAAGGTGCAAATAAATCCTTGTGTATCTCTACATTACTTGCCAAAACACTGTCTACATATTACTTATATCTAATCAAATAGTCCTAATTTTTGTCATATGATTTGTCTTTTTTCCATCATTAAGCTTCTCATGGGAATGACGATAAACTACATCCTGCAGTAAGGCCTCTG